GATCTGCTCTGATACCTAAGAGGCATACTGTGTGCAGAGTACTGAGCTAGACGCAGAAGAAAATACTAAGCTTAGATAAGACAGAATACCTGCCTTCTTGGGACTTATGGTCTAGTAAGGGAATAGGATACAAACAGAGTATAATAGACAGACATAATAGATCATAAATGCATTAAAGAATTGCAAACCAGAGTGCTCTGTGAGGCCTGACGTTTCTTGGAGGTAATGAAATTTGAGATAGGCTTCACAGGATAGGTAATAATTTACTTGATAAAGATCGACATTCCAGGCATTTGGAGCAATGTGAAAAATTGATAGGAAAGTGTAGAGTATATTCTGGAGTAGAGCCCTATTAGGATGGAGTGTAAAGTCCATGTAGTTAGGTTAGAAATTAGGCAAAAAACATTTGTTGTCTACTCTGTGCACTGTGCTTTGTGCTGGGGATATAAAGATGAAAATGAACATGTCTTGCCTTCAAGGAGCTTACATTCCCAGATTGTGGAGCGCTTTGATTTCTAGGGAAAGGAATTTGACATTTAATTGGTAACTGTTGGGGAGCCCCTGGAGACTTTTGAGCAGAGGCATTCTGGAAAGCAATTTGGAGCTATGCCCCAAAAGTTACTAAACCTAGTTTAGTTAAAAGTTACTTCAACCTAGCAAAAGTAGTGGGAAGATACCAGGCTGCTGGTATTTTACATTTTAGCATTTTACAGCAGGGTGGTGACAGTGAAAGGTGAAAGAACAATAGTTGTGATATGTTAGTGGAGGCCTCTGGTCCAGTCCATTCTCCACATAAGCTACCAAAGTGATTTTCCTTAGGAGGGTATCCGACCTTTTGCTCTCCCGCTTAATACACTCCAGGGGTTCCCTGTTGTCCCTAGGTTAAAATAAAATCTTGTCTGTTTGGCTTTAAAGACCTTTCACAACTTGCCTACAGCCTATATTTTAGGTTCATTGTATGTTAGTACCTTTCCAGTACTCTCGTCCAGGACCACTGACACTATTTCTGCCTTTGCCCTGGCTGTCCCTTATATGTGAAATTCACTTTCTCCTTATCTCTGACTCTCAGAAGATTTCAAGATATAGTGCAAGCACCATTTTCTACAGATAGTTGACTTTCCTGATTCCCTGTTACTGCTCTTTCTCTGTAACTTGTATGTATTCTGCATATACTTTTATATATATATATGTATATATATATATGTATATGCACATGTTGTCTGTCCCAATAAAATGTATGTTCCTTGAGTATTTTTCATTTTTATCTTTGTAAAGGGCCTAACACATGGTAGACATTTAATAAATGTTTATTGATTGATTGATTGAGATAGTAACTGATTGACCATAAAAGGTGAGGAAGAAGGGTCAAAGGTAACTTAAGTGTTATGAAGATAGGAAACTGGATTAATGGGGCCATAAACAAAAATAATGAAGTTAATAATAATAATAATAATCAAAGAGCAGGTTTGAAGAAATCTGTCAAGAAGTCTCCTCTTCATGAGTTCAAATCCACCCTTGGACACTTACCAACTGTGTGACCCTTGGCAAACCACTCCAGTATATTTGCCAAGAAAACCCCAAATGGAGTCACAGAGAGTCAAAAGTGACTGGAAAATGACTCAACAATAGGTAGAACATCCATAAGAAGATGGCCTGTAGGTAGCTGGAGATGGAGATCTGTACATTAGAGAAGTGGTCAGAACCAAATTTAAAAGTTTAGAAGTTGTCTGCTTAAAAGGTGGTAGTTGAATCTATGGGAGTGAATGGACTTAGCAAGGGAGATAGCATAGAGGGAAAGCACATAGGGTCAAGGACCACTCCTGGGGAAAACTTGGATAAGGAGTTTAGAAGAGAATGAGAAGTATCATCGCAGGATGTAGGCAGAATAGTTAGGAAAGCACCGGAAGAATGTGATGTCTTTGAAGGTTAAAGAAGGAGAAGAAGATGCAGCAGAAAATAAAAGATGGTAGCACTCACTGTGTCACAGGCTGCAGAAAGAGTTGTTAAGGCTGTAAAGGAGTATGAGGACTGAAAAGGGGCGTGTTAGATTTGCCAATTAGCAAAAAAAAAAAAAGCAGGTAAGTAGAGGTGTAGATATGAGAGGAAGTGAAAGCATTGGGTATATATCACTGCTAAACTTCTTGGCAAAGTTAAGGGGAGGAGGGAAATACAACTATTGCTAAATGAGATAAACAAGTCCCTTGACTAGGTAGGAGTTTTGAGAGTAGAGATTTTGTTGAATACAGTCTGCTGAGACAATTCTTGTTCTCTTGAACATATTAACATTCCGTTCATGGTTTTATCTCCTAATCCAACAGCTCCTTTTATAATGCCAAACAAATCCCTAGGATTTGTGTCATTGAGCTTAATTCTTTTGGCTCTTTCCATTGGGAAACTACTTCTAAAAGCAGATATTCTTTTTTTTTTTTTCCTTCTCTCCCATTTTGTAGAGACTTAGGGTATTATTCAGTTTTTCCCCTAACTTCCTAAGCAGCCCTCTTCCTCGCCCAAATGATTGATTTTCAGTTTCCTGTTTCTTTGAATGTTTTATAGTTTTCAGTTTAACAGTTTTTTTTAACAGTTCATCTCTCATGGAAGAGGAAAATGTTGATCCATTAAATTGAATATATTTTTTTCTTTTGTTCTTTTTGTTATTGTTACATCTATGGTAGCCTATATTCCTTACCTTAGCAACTTACCTGCAAATTTTTGCTGTGTATCTACATGGCAGGTACTTTTCTCTTTCACTATTAGTGACCTTTCATACTGAAGATTGTATATCACTTGAGTTAGTTATTGCCATATTTTATTTGGTGATTTTAACACAATTTCTACTTCAGTCAATCAAATTTAAAGGCCCATGATAAAATTAGTTGCTCCTAAAAGGGAAATATTTTTTGAAATGGCCTAGAATGCAGTAGAAGTGAAATCTTATTTGTAGTAATTAAAAAAATTTTTTTACACAATTTATATTATAGTTTTAAAAATTCATTATAACATTTTAAACAAATATAATATTCACGAGCTAATGTCCAAGATTAAGAGAAGTATTGCCTGATGAAAATAGTATTTTTGTTCCTGTAAAAACTAAGAACTTAACTTCCTGTAAGAACTAAGAACTTTCATTTCAGATTATTGGAATACTTAGGTCTTTTGTTGTACTTTATGCTTCCAAGAAAACTCCTATCATAGTATATAATTGCCTTTAATGTCTTATTATTTACTAAGCTTTTTTTATTGCTGCTATATTATATTCAATTCCAAATATATCCCTCTTTTCCTTCTCTTCCTCATCCATTACTACGTATGACAGAGTAGCAGTATTCCATTACCCATAGTCCTCCAGCTCTGCAGCAGTCGAGGAAGATGCACTCAACTTTACATAACAGCAAAAGCAAAGAACCACAATTTGCAATTTTAAAATACAATTCAGCACACATTTAAGTGCCTACTATGTGCCAGGCACTATATAGAAAAAGAAATTTCTACATGTATATCCATAAAGGCTTATTATTTGTGACTCCCCTTCAGTTTGTTTGTTCATCTCAATATTTATATGAAAATCATAGATTTGGGGTTAAAAGGTACCTTAGAAGCCATTGAGTCTAACAATTACCCCCCTCATTTTGCTGATGAGGAAACTGAGATACAGACATAAAGTGCTTGCTTGGAGTCACAAAGCCAGTAATTGAGGTGGGATTTGAATCCTATTCTCCTTGACTCCCAGGTCTGTTGCCCAGTGCACTAAGCCAATTTACCTCTCCATATACATACTTTTCTTTTTATACAGTCATAGTGTTTGGTAGGTTCTGTTTTCTTCTCTTCTCATCCCTTCACATAGACCTTTGCAATATTTATATTCTGCATATTTATCATTTTAATGGCATTTTAGTGTCCCTAAATACCAGAGTTTTATCCAGTTGTTTACCAATCATTTTATATTTTGATTTTCAGTTCTTTGTACTTATAGATAGTGCTGATATGTTTGTATTGGCAAACTTTTTTCCCATTTACAATAACTCTATTAAAGTATAATTCTAATGATGGGCGTATCAAGTTAAAACCTGTAATTATTTTTATGACTCTTGTTGTATGCCATCAGATTGTCCTCTAAAAATTTGGTACCACTTTTGCAATTCCATATGCTTGTTTCTTTACAGCTCTACCCGCTTTGAGTTTTGCTATCAGTTATTTTTTGTCAATTTAATGGGAGTAAAGTAGTTGTTTCCGTTTGCATTTCTCTGTAAGGTGGTTGAAGATATTTCAGCATTGTTTACAATAAATGTACCCTCTTGAAAACTCTTTGTTCATGTTCTTTGACCAATGTTCAGTCCATTGGTGGTTGAATTTTTTCCCTCAATTTTCATATTGATTCCTTATAGATCAGTAGTGAAATTTTAATCTTAATACAATCCATGATTACACTAAAATAATTTTATCATAATTTCGTTTAATCATCACCCAAATGGTATATTTTCAGATAAATTAATGATAAACATTATTGAAAAATAAAAATCATTGAAAAATTATTTCTGTAGAGAGATATTAACTTCAGAAGCTCAAAATAAAGTGGAGAACTGTGATTCTTTGCTTCAGTTTTTCCATTTTCTGTTTGTAGATGACAGCCTTGTTTGTACCTATATCTGCAGTTTCTATTTTTAGTTATCTGAACTGGAGGCAACCTGTGGCCTTCTAGGTCCTTGGATGCGGCCTTTTAACTGAGTCCAAGTTTTACAGAACAAATCCTTTTATTAAGGGGATTTGTTCTGTGAAGTTTGGATTCAGTCAGAGGGCCGCACTTGAGGACATAAAGAGCCACATTGTGGCCTTGAGGCCGAAGGTTCCTCACCCCTGGACTAGATAATCTCTGAAATTCCAGATTTAGTGATCCTATAGGTATTTGAACTATTTTGTGACGTATGCCCTAAAGAACTTGAAGTTGCAGGAACATTGAGGAAAAAACTTCCTCCCTCAAACTCACTATTTTTCCTTCTTTGTAGGCACCATTCAGGAAGATTACCTGAGAGAACTACTGACAACAATGGGGGACCGATTTACAGATGAAGAAGTAGATGAGCTGTATAGAGAAGCGCCTATTGACAAAAAGGGAAATTTCAATTATATTGAGTTCACACGCATCCTTAAACATGGAGCAAAAGACAAAGATGACTGAAAGGAATCTCCTATCTGTCAGTTATTCCTGTTTCACTTATGAATCATTCCATTCCTAAGACTCCTTTTTTTTCCCTGATAGAACCTGCTGCATACACTTAGCTTCACAGCTTTGGCTTTTCTTATGTATTTATTCTAGGCCCTTCTACCATAATGTGTTTGTGTAATCAGACTGGAAATGGGGATGATGTAAATTGTTTTGAAAAGAGTTTGAGAATTGAAAAAAAAAAAATCAATGAATGTGAAAGCCCAGAAAAAAAGAATCTCAATATTTCTGGTTTTGCTGGATTTTTACATTTTTATAATATAAATGCTATTTTGAAATAAAGATTATGTCAATTCAAAGTAAAATATCATGGCAAGTTAAACAGATGTGTGGGGATTTTTGGAACTATTTTTGGGAGATTTTCAACTTTACTTGGTTCAAATCACATGGTCAAGCTGCTTTGCCAATGTGAGTATTTCAATAGTATATATCTGGACTTTATTTAACATTAATGTGAAGTAAAAACTGTTATATCTACTTGGACTTTTGTCATGCTTTTAATAAGTTCAGAATTTTAAATTATTAATTACATAATTAGTTAAATTTTTCAGAAGATTTTTTTTACTTAGCATTTTACCATTTAAGTTTAATCCCAGAACATGAGGAAAATATCCTCCATTTGCCCACAAGCCCTAGATGACTAAAATTCATATCCACTGAAATGAGAGCTCTTTCAGGGCCAGTATGGCCAATCCTAATTTAAGTGAAGAATGTATAGGTCATTGTGTATGGCACCACTGATTTATTCCTAGATGTCTGGGAGCTGAAGCAGCTGCAGATTATCCCGTGTATGATTAGAAATGATATTGGCCAGGTTATGGCAAGAAAAGTATGCTGCTTTTTACGTGGCTTTTAAAATGCTGAAAGTGTAAGTTGAAATAATGTTATTTAAGGGGAAAACTGGAAAATCAAGACCAAAGAATTTGATTACTAACATTTTTACACCAAATAACCCTTGTGATATAATGAATTAAATTTTGTTAACATTTCCTTAAGAACCTTCAATCAGTACTGCTCAGCTTTCTCAAAGGGATTGTTTTATGTTTTAATTAGGACTATATACAACTGCATCTGATAAATTGAAGTAATTGCATTTGTTCAAGGGAAGGGGCATCACTCATTTCCATTGCCTTAGGCAATAATATTGTAGCACTGTTCTGCTTTTAGACCTGAGTGTCTTTGGCAATTCACATAAGATTTAGGAAGAGACTTTGATTCGGCCCAACAGAAGAGGCATGGGATTCCAGACAATAGTATTGTCATAGGATCTGACATGCTCATTTTTGTAATTTGTAGAGAAATGTGTACAGATGTTAAAAATGCACAACGTCCATGACACAAACCTACTAAGAACATATCAAATACCTCTCAAGGCACAGGGCAATCTTAACTACATAGAGCATTGATAAGTTAGAGCCATCCAGAGGAAGGGAGTCACAGGATGTGACCGTATGACAGTGGGGACTTTTGATAGTTACCATGTGTTCATTTTTTACAATCTTTACTTCCTCCTAAGAATGCTATTACTTCTTTTTATTACAGCCATAGTTTTGTTTTGTTAACATCAACTTACAATTGTTTCACTGTTTACAAATCACTGTTGTATATACTAATCCTCATAACTGAGGATAGCATAGACAAGTATTATTGAGTAATACTTTTCACAAAGTTATTGTTATTAAACGGCAAACCACTTTTAGTTCCATAATCGATTTCATTCCTTAAATGCTTACGTTCCAGACTGCCACTTAATTAGCTGTGTGACTTGAAGTCATTTCACATCTCTGGGACTCAGTTTCTTCATCTGTCAAGTGAATTGACTAGATGATTCTTAAAATCTCACGCTGTAACATTCTAATTCTAATTCTATTAATGTTTAAGAAGGAAACAAAAAATCCTCTAGCTACCCTTGACTTAAAGGGGAAACACCTTGCCTTCCTGTTAACAGTTTGCCCTGTCACCTTCCTCCCACAGTTGTGACTTCACTCTTGCCCTCTCTGCAACTTGGAGTCAAATATAAGATAACTCAAAATGTAAAAACTCAGCAAAACCTGTTAATGTGAAATTTTACATTTAATTTGAAAATTAAAAAAGAAACACAGCAATCTGTCTTGTAATGCTTTGTTATTGTGTTTGCTTCATGGCCCTTATAAGTAGTGTGTGGGGGGAGGTGTGAAGGAGGGGAAGCTGATTAAAATCAAACACTGTATATTCATTACCTGCCACAGAATCTTGTGCATTTTAGGTGTGTAATGTTACTGGCATGAGAGTAGGAGTGGTGCTTTAGTACTGTGCTTCTCCCTCTCATTTTAATCCCTGACACTTTTGTGACAACCATACAGGCCTCTTTGTACTGTTGAATCCCCAGAGCAATCACCCCCTTTGTTTCCATTGATCACTTTCATGAGGGTATTGATTCTTAATGCCTAATATGTGTGTAGAATTATAGTTACAAAACTTCACATTGTGTTTGGAAGCATGGCAGTGTATTGCATAGAGTACTAGACTTGGAATAAAGCTGTCCAGGATGCAAATCCTTCTTTTTGACAGTAGCTATGTAAGTAGACAGTCTTGGCTTCAGTTTCCTCATCTGTAAAAACAGGGTGATAATCCCTCTATTAGCACTAGATAGTTATGAGGCCCAAGTGAGAGAAAGCATTTTGTAAACTTTAAGGAGCTACAGTGATACCAGCAATTGTTTTGATTCTCACAAAACCCCTTTGAGATGTTCAGGTATCATCTCCATTAAAAAAAAGAAAACTCAGTTCTGTAGAGGTTAAATGTCTTGCTCAAGGATAATGTACACCCCTAATAAATGCTGGAGCCAGTAGGTCAAGTTGGTGTTGAACCTAAGCAGAGTAGCTAACCATTTACACTACACCATCACCACTAATCTTGGAAATACCTTGAGAAGGAGTCTGGAATTTAATCAGATGCCAGCACTTACTCTGAAGCCCAACAGTGTCCTCGGCAACAAATGGTGTAAACCACATATCCCTCTTGCCATGTCCTCTATACCTCACTTCCTAGGGTGGTGGTACCTATAAAACTGGGTAGTTTTACAAAGCGAAGGCCACTGGGTGGCAGTATTATTCCTAATACAATCTCAGTCATACCCCTTTATTTAGAGGCCATTCCTTTGCAGAAAGGTCTCATATCACTCCAGACAATATTATGCCTTCAAAATGTTTAATTTGTTCCTTAGATGAAGCAAAGGATGGTACAGGCCGCCTCAATGATTTTCACAATCTGGAGCTCTAAGAAAAATTATCAATGGCAGAAGTTGACTGTATATTGTGATCTGATAATGTTGTTCAGTCATGTCTGACTCAGTGACCCCATTTGGGGTTTTCTTGGCAAAGATACTGGAGTGGTTCACCATTTCCTTAAATAGCTCATTTTACAGATGAGAAAACTGAGGCAAACAGGGTTAAGTGACTTGCCCCGGGTCACACGGCTAATTGAATTCAGAAAGATGAGTCTTCCTGACCCCAGGCCTGGCATTCTGTCCACTGCTCATAGGAGGCACCGTGTTACAGTAGAACATATGGCCTCTGTCCTCTGAGCTTCAACTTCTGCAAAATGAAGGAGTTGAACTAGCAGGCACTTGAGGTCCTTTCCAGTTCTGGATCTCTGACCCTATGAAGTGTCATAATACCATGCCAAGAAATAAAACACCTGTTAACTGGAGTTACCAACTAAAGCAGAAAGGGCTTTAAAAAGTTCAAGAGCTTGGGGGTTTGTTTTATAAAACAGTGTAACCTTCTCTAGGGGATTCATGTTGTAGCCTCTATTTAGAGCAAGTGCAGGTATCCTTTAACTGCTTCCTGTTGGTGGTGCAATAAAAAGAACACTTGGAGCCAGGAAACTGTGAGTTCAAATCTAGCCTCAGATGCTAGGTGTATGACCCTGGACAAGTCACTTACCCTCAGTTTCCTCATCTGCAAAATGGGGATAATAATAACTCCTACACTTCTCCCCACCCCCACCATCACCTCAGGTTATTGTGAGGATAAAATTAGATAATATTTGTAAAGAACTTTGCAAAGCTTTTAGTAGCTTTTTAAAAGCTACTAAGCCAAAACTCTACTTTGCATCTGCTCAGCCTAGTTTCAATTCCACTGAACAACATGCTCTTCCGGGGATAAACTCATCACTTCTAATCTCACCATCACGCTGCTTACTCGAGCCTTGATTGATACCCCCTCCCTCAACCTCCTCTTCCCTCTGATTGGGGGCTGGAGGGCAGAGTACCAAACTCCCAATGCCTTCCTTTATAGAAGACAGAGTCTGAATCCTCTCAGCTCTCTCCATTTTGCATCTATTGCTCTGCCTGAGTTCAACTCCATGGAACAAAATGCCCCCACAACAGTTAACCGCAGTTCCGCCTCCCTTTTCTCCCTTTATTTGTTGTGTCTCCCTTTAGATTATTCTTCTAGATTACCCTTGTGAGTGGGACTGTGTTTTTATTGATCTTATCCCCAGTGCTTAGCACAGTGCCTGGCACACAATAGGTACTTAATGTTTATTAGACTGGATTGAAAACTAGAACTTTCAGTATATACTAAAGGAACAATCACTACCCCTCAGGCCTCCTCCTCCTGCCTGCCTCCCGGATATAAGGCTGATTCCCCCACACAGGCTTCGAGCTCCTGGCCTGCTAGACAAGGGTTGAGATGGAGTGATTTCCTCATTGTGTTTTCTTTCCTTTGGTGCAAGGCCTTGTGAAATCTCAGAAGATAGCTGGCATTTTCCCCTTTCCTGGGAAAGTCAGCTGCTGGAGCAGTTGCATTGGACATAGTGACAGAAACAGACTAGCCAAGAGGAGGGAAAGGATTATCCACAGAGAGAGGGAGAAACTGCTGAACAAAGGGCCTGCTTGGTACTGATTAGCAGGACTCAGTGGAGGGGAAATATAAAAATTGCTAAGAAGCAGCTCTGTCAGAGAAGTACTTGCAAATATCCAAACTGGGCTTCAATATTAGCCCCCCAATGGATTTTAATCATTCTATGATTTTTTTTTTTATCACTTAGCCTTTTCTTTTCTGTATGTGAGAATAAAACTGCCTGTTTCATACCTGATTCATGTTTGTATCCTGGGTGCCTTCGTTACTTTCTCCTCCCTGGCAGGAGGGGATCCCTTAGAACTGAGCCAAAAACTGAACTTTTCCTCAGGAATCTCAGGCAACAGTAGAACTGAGATGGGGAACCTGAGAGGAATGAACCCAGGGCAAACAGAGAGGTCAGACCCCTAGGAAAGGGATTGGTGAAGGTCACCAGTCTATGACCTCAGCCTAGAGGTTCTTGGAGAGCCACAGTTTTATAATAACATTCAATTTTAAAGCTGGAGGGGAATTTAGAGAGCCTCTAGTTCAACCCTCACATTTTACATGTCAGGAAAGTGTAGCCCCTTATTTTACAGATAAGACATCCAAAGTCACAGTGCACTAGTGGCCAACCCAGGACTAATTTCCAGT